ATCTATGCATTTTCTTCCGTGCAGGAATCACAATCATTTTTAAGTGCTCTATAATAATAATGATCTACTTTTTTAGGGAGTGATTTTTCTCCCCAAGGATATACAAACAAAGTGAACAGCTAATTATTTGTTGTTACAATAATTCAACTTAATAATACTCGTATTATTGACCTGGGAAGAATGAAAGGCCAGGATATTTTTACTGAGAAACAAGTCTGTAACAACTATTGGCTATACCGTTTATAAAGTTAGTACATTAACCAGTGAGCTTTCTGACTAATTTATCAGTAGTCTACATTTAAAGGGACACTGTAGGCACCCAGACCATTTCAGCCCATTGAAGTAGTCTGGGTGCCAACTCTCATCCCCCTTACCCTTGCAAGTGTAATTATTTCAATTTTTATAAACTGCAATAATTACCTTGCAGGGTTAAGTCCTACTGTCTACCAGGTGCTTAGACTTTTGGTCGTCTAAACGACAACTTTTTGTTGTCTAAACGACGCTGGACGTCCTCACGCTATGCATGAGGACCTCCAGCGTCGCCAAAATTCCCATAGGAAAGCATTGTATAATGCTTTCCTATGGGGAAATCCTAATGCGAGCGCGGCCATTGCCGCGCATGTGCATTAGGTCTCCCCCACAGGCGGACGTTAGCGTTTAACCCCTTCAGTCACATTGGATGGGGGGCACTCCAGGATTCTAAAGTGCCAGAAAAATGGGTTTGTTTTCCTGGCACTAGAGAGTCCCTTTAAAGAATTTCTAAGAGTAAAATTACTAATACATTTGTTACAGTATACTAAAATTGGAGAGATCAGAGGAAAAATTGTGTTAACTTCTTCATCTCTACTTTTGTATTAAACATTTTGTATTAAACAGGAGAAGCAACTATTACTTGTTCATAAATATAACTAGTATTTATTATAGCGGTAAAGTATTTGAAACCGTATAACTGGATAAAAAAAATACATGGGTAGTCAGCAGAGGAGATAATAGAACGCAAAAAGGAACAGAAGAAGGGGCGCTCCACTCTTTGATATATTGTTTTATTTTTTCTGTAAAAGGAAGGGAAAAAGTAATGTGGCATTATTATTGGAGGTGTGTGGAAAAAAATGATACATATACTGTATCGTAGAGAAAGAGAGGGCAGACAGGTCTTGTACTAAAGATAAGTAACAGACAGCTAACACAATAAGTGTGTGTTTTAGAAAGAGCAGGGGTGATAGAACATACGGCGTTGGAAACAAGGACTAATGAAGTCACACTGTGAGTTTTCCTTTCTGTGAATTAGAACACTCCAAGAACCTTAACTACTACTGTGCACTGTAGTGGTTATGGTGTCAATTGTATTGTAAGTAGTCAAATCCTTTTTAAACCGGTTTGACGTCTTACCTGAGGTTCATCAGGCACCTGTTAAAATATTTTAAAGTGGAGAAGGACAAGCAAGCTGTAATGGCTGCTGAAAAAATATGGTTGTTTTACCCTACCGAAAGATCAACTTATTTGTGCCAACATTCTACATCTTTGGTACAAATGCATGATGGGAGAGAATGTAGAGTACATCTCCCTTCTGATCCAGATTTGAATGTTCTTTTGACTTTCATTTTAAACTCTTACAGTAATGAGCTTTTTGTAAATCTAGTTTAATGTGATTTAGTTTTTTGTTTTTTCCTATTCTACATTTACGTAATATATTACTGTACTATTCAGTTAGCTGAAGGCATCACACTGGCCACAATTCAAACAGTAGAGCCTTTATATACTTCTCAGCTGTCTTGAATTTCCCTCACTGCGCTGTGATTGGTTGATTTGTAATACCAACCAATCACAAATTACTAATGGGCAAGCATCACTTAGTATGATACTGTTATGATACTGTTAATGTTTATATATACACAATACCGTATACGTGCACATTATATAACTACACAATGTAAGGTATTTTTTTTACTACAAAATTACCATATGTGGTTTTCTAGTACAAAAATCTTAATGGACAGGTTGGATACAGCTTCCTGCACCTGTTCATTAAATCAATTGAAAAATGCTTCCAGATCAACTAGATATGATTAATGCACTTATTTAAAAAAGCCGCAGACTTTCAATACATTCTAGATTGTCATGAATATCAGTTTACCTGCATAGAGAGATGCTCTTCAGATCTAGAGGGTGAATAATTCCATCTACGTACGATAATGAATGTACAAACTGCGCCAGTCCTGTTGCTCCCATTATGGTCCTCCAATGATCCTGCGTCCATGCCACACCTTGGTCCACTACGGACACCTGGAAACCAGCAATGAAGGCCTCAACATCGAAAAGAGAGAGCTCCACACCCACGTGCTGCAACAACAATAGGTAAGTGTGGATTCAATTAGAAAGGGGGTTTACCTAAAATGGGCGCTATTTATATGGCTATAGGCCACCCCTACCATACTTCCCTACACCACTCCCTCAGATC